CGGTGAAGGCCTTTTCTATAATTTATTTTATGTTGATTTTTTAAATTTTCTATTTGTTTATTTGGTCTCAGTCATTTCCTGGGCAACTAACTATTCTGGTGTGGAATCCTGCCAGCACAGCACATTTTCGCCCCCTGAGGAGGGGTCAGTATAATAAGTATCGCGACGCTTAACGCTACCTGACACCCAGAATATCAGATCCCGCATCTCTACAGCTTATGGGGAAGCCGATCAACCAGCCTTTTCATCGAACATTTCTGAATAAAAATTTAGACACCCTTTAGCTATACATTAAGAAATCCGCATGATAATAATTTTTTTCATGAAAATTAATTGCTTTTTTTCCTGTAAACATCTAATAAAGTCGTTTTATTAGTGTTACCAATATATTTATGTAATTATGGTGATGATGAGAGAACAGGCTTGCAGATAGTGGGGTTTTCTAACTAAACCTTCATTCTGATTAGTCTTACTTGCTCTTTCGTGGCGTATTGTCTGAACAAGGCTTTTTGATGATTTCAAAGTTAAGCTCTTGTAAAAATTTGTGAGTATCAATCTAGCAACGCGCTGGCTCGAAGTTTTTTGTAACATCCGAACTTAACAGCATCAGTCTTAGTCATTTGTTCTTGGCTATTTTTATGGCGGTTTTGACTCTTGATAATAAGGACATGGTTTATCTTAGTTCGCTTAATGTTACAGTTGAGTTTCCCACAATTCATTAACTAGAAGGCCTTACGATGTCATTTACTTTCACTCAATCTTTTCTCCATATAGACCTCTTTTAGGCTTCTACAACGAGATTTGAAATCTGGTCGTGCGTACACCATGATTACATTAACATTTCTGATAGCTTTGAAGCCTATTTATTTAGTATAGAGTAAATTCGTATATTTTAATGGCCGGTATCAGTTAACTATATTTTTATAATTTAGATAGTAACTGAAAGTTTTAAGAGGCTTGGGTCACATTACCTTGTGACATTCTGGGTGACTGAGTTTTAGCGTTTCTTCTTTTTATGAATAATTGTTGGGAAACTGGTCACTCCTATGAGAGCCATGAACAGGTGAAGTTCACTGGTTTTGTGAGGCTTTTGATTTCGTCCTGTGAAATTCATCTATCATACGCCACTTCTAGCGACCCAAATTTACT